ATGCTTCACTAATTGTATTGTATCACAATCTTCTGTTATAGTTGCACATGTTTTAATATGTCATCATTTTAAAGATTAAGTCCTGAGCGCCTGATTTTTCCTTGGTGCTGACGTGCTTTAGTTACATTTAGATTTCAATGGAATATTACAATTAAAAAGGAAACGAATTATGTCATAACGAATGCCCTTGAATAATGTAGCCTTCGACAGTAAGCATCAGTGTTTCTTGACATGATTGGGGAATGGGGGCGGGGCGGTGCTGGAATTGTGCGTGCCTTTGAATAAAATCCTGCAGACACCCCTGCTTAGGCCTACAGTTATGTTAGTCCTTTTCGTTTTCAAGTTAGGAAAAAATACGTACTTTTAGAAACACTTTGCTTTCAGAACATCCTGTTATGTTTGGGTGTGTCTTTCTTTTTTGTTATGCTTTAAACAACATATACATCAGTGGTCACCAAACTTGTTCCTGGAGGGCCAGTGTCCTGCAGATTTTAGCTCCAACCCTAATCAAACACACCTGAACAAGCTAATCAAGGTCTTACTAGGGCTGTTTCTCAATATGCGTTCTTCAGCGGTCTTGCGTCCTCGAGTTCTCGTGCAACGTCATCATCAGCTGCCTAAGTTCAGTTCCAATACTCAAGACCGCAAGAACTGAGGACGCGTGAAACTTCCCGGATGTGTTCTTGATATCGAGGACGCACTGATGCAGACTTGAGCACTGAACTCGCTCTGGAAGTCCCAGAAGTCATTGCGACTGGAGATGGGAAGCGCTGCATTTTATTTAGATTTATTAATAAAGTTCAGAGATATCACTTATTTACCTCAGGAAATTCCCTAAATGAAACGGTGAAAGTAAATTACCATGAACATCTTAATAGAGGAATAAACACATTAAGGGTGTTTGTTTGCTGAAATTCGTATTAAAATAAGTTTTATTTATATTGTGCAGGGTATATTTATAATGTTTTTATGTAAAGTATATATTTTGAAGAGAAGGGAAAACAATAAATCGTTGTATGAGTGCTGTAATGTTAAAATGATTTCCATTTAAAAGGCGTGAAGGTCACATGACCATCAGGAAGAACGCAGCATCCCATTTCTCAAAGGACGCATTCTCTGCCCTCGCGGACTCCCGAGTTCGTTCTTCCAAGGACACCTGGCAAGACCGGTCTCCACACGAACGCAAGTCCGTTCTCTGTGTTCTTGGAATTGAGAAACAGCCTCTGTATACTTGAAACACTCAGGCAGGTGTGTTAAGGCAAGTTGGAGCTAAACCCTGCAGGGACACCCGCCCTCCAGGATCGAGACTGGAGACCCCTGATATACATGAAGATATAGTAAACAAAACAATGCCAGGGTGATAGAACGTAAATGATAACAACAATACACAAGATAAATAAATAAAACAAACATAAAAACAAGAGTGTAAATAATTAACTAAAATTCTTACAAATACAAATAAGCAGGACCTTTACATTAATCAAAGATATTGAAACTAGAGCACAGCTGGACAGTTTTAATGGCCTTTCCATTAGCACTATGCTGAATAGTGCAATAGTAATTTTTCAGTTCCTAATAAAACACAGTAAAACAAGTTTTTTTGTTGGGAAATTTACACTTATGAATATGAAACTTAATTAGCAAAATAAATAGGTTAATAACAAAAGCTTCATTATTCAAATTATCATAATTAAAACATCCAAAAATTAAATTTTCAAAATGCAAATTAAAGTTAAAGAGTACCTTTTTCTTTATAAAAACAGAAGCATCATACCAGAGCTTTTTAACATCACCACAGTGCCAAAAGGGGTGGGGTACAGTTTCCAAATACAAAGAACAAAAAGAGCAATTTATATCAATATCCTTTTTAAATTTACTGAGAAAATGTTTAACCAGGTAGAATTAATGAATTAGTTTAAAACAGGGGTGCTCAACCCTGCTCCTGGAGACCTATGTTCCTGCTGAGTTCAGCTCCAACCCTGATCAAACACACCTGAACCAATTAATCAGGACCTAGACAGCCCTGGATAATTACAGGCAGGTGTGTGTGATGTGGGTTGCAACTGAAATCTGCAGGACGGTAGATCTCCAGGGCCCGGTTTTCAAAAGGTTTAATCCGGATAAAATTGATCCGAATTTAGTAAGCAACATTGGATTGGATCAATCCGATCTGGATAGGAACTTTTCTGGATCGCTAAATCTGGATTACCAGTGCTCAATCACAATGTAGATGGATAGATAGACCTATGTAAAGAGCAACAAGTAGAATAGCCAGTGTGGGGTCAATATAAATGTATTTTTATTAGAAATTAAAACAATAAAAACCCCACCCCAACCTCTTCCAGCAGTCCGCTTATCTGAGACCTACAACACAAACACTGTAAATTGAGGTATTTATAATAAGTTACAAATATAGATGTACATTAAAAAAAATTGTTAATGTCAAAAACTCCACAATAATTTCAGACGTCCTCATCTGATATGGAGAGAGTAGCTTGTCTGAGCAAAGCCTTTAGGAGGTGAATCTCAAATCTGGCTGTCAGGGTTCTGCCACTTTGGTCTTGTAAAATCTTGTTTTAGTGGCAGAGCTCTGACACTACTCCATGTCTGGTCCTGTTTCTGTCTCTGTGTGCGCGCACGCGCCGTCGTGGGTGTACGCAGAGTGTGTGTGCTGCCACTTGATGTGGCCGCGCACGCTCTGCGTCCCTCAGACGCGCGCGCTCTTGTACTAGTGTTTGTGTTTGTTCTGTCAGCAGCGCGCTGCTTTATTCTCGGCGCCTCTGTCTAGTTGCTTTCAGTTTTGGTTGGCGCTGAGATGAAGCGTGCGCGTTGCTTATGTGTGAGCGCACGGTAAGGTGTTTATCTATCGTGTGCTCGTGTCTTGCGTCTCTTGTCAAAGCACGTGGCTCGGTGTTTACATTGTGGTCACGTGCTTTTGTCGTGTGCTTCAGTGTTGTGTTTGTTGTCATGAACATGCGGTTAATGAGTTCTCTCATTGGCTGCATGTTCTAGTTGTGTTATGTGAGCGCATGGCTTGTATTGTCTCTCTGTGTCATGCGCTCTCCCGTCTATTGTCTTGTCCCACCCTCCTTGTTAACCCATTATTAGTTAATTGTGTTCACCTGTTTGTGTGTTAATTTTCTACAGTTTATATACCCCTCACTTTTGCTGTCCTGTGCCAGTTCGTCATTACATGTTGTTGTTTAAACCCTTGTCTTGTCATGTTTCCAGTTATCATCGTTGCCAGCCTGCCCAGTCCTGTTTGTATGTATTTGTTTTGTTAATGTTTTCCCCCTCGGGATAGTTTATTTTGCATTTTATTTTATTTTTATTATTTAATAAATTCCCATTTTTCCTGCACTTGAGTCCTCGCTCCTTTTTCCCATTTCCCCTCACCAACCCTGACACTGGCCTTTGTTTGCTGCAGTTTGGTCAGAGTCAGTTGTTCCTCTGCCAGATGAAGCTGTGCTTCTGCCCTTTAAGTCTCTTTTTGCAATTGTTGAAGGTGATTTCAAAAATCAGTGATTGCCATTCTTTGCATTTTCTTGGTTATTCTGTAATCATTGCATGCATCACTAATAAATACTCTAAAAACAAAAATATTTTCCATTGTGATGAATAAATATATATATATATATATATATATATATATATATATATATATATATATATATATATATATATATATATATATATCAATGAGTGACAGAATAAAATGTATTGTTTCTGGTCTATTTTGACAGCTGTTTGCTGTAGGCCTATACTGAAAGGCTGAATATATTAAATCCAATAATCACTGTAGCCTGACAGATGAACAAATAAAATTAAAACCTTATGAATAAATAGTATATCTCGTAAGATACTGCATGATCCAAATATAGTTTTATTTAATAACATTTTTAAGTTTTTATTACATTTTGGGCATGAAATCCACGCTAAATCCACCCTTCTGATGGGATCAGTTTAATCCATGTTTTTTGGATCAAAGTGATCCAGATCCTACAAAAAAGGTCTGAAAAACCCAAAGTAAAGGTTTGATCCGGATCAAAACCAAGATTAGATTACTTGATCTAATCCGATTATGTTATCCGTTTTTTCTTTCGAAAAACCCATTTTCAAGATTTGATCCAATCCCTTATCCAAAATCCTAGTGGATTACTTTTGAAAAACCGGGCCCAGGAGCAGGGTTGAGCAGTCCTGGTTTAAAAGATATTTCTTTTCTCGTATTTGTAACCAAAGGTTTGTAAGGCAATGACCAAATACTTTCCCAGTTATGTTTGGGTGTGTCTGCATATGCTGTTAGCGGACATGTTTCGTAGAGGGGGAACTGGAATTCCCGAAGGGAACAGCATCAACTGGCCCTGATATATGTCAAAAATAATCAAATTCAAATATCAAAATATTTTCCTAAATGTTTTAATAATCTTTTTTCTGTTTGTAGATTAATTTAGCTCTAATAACCTGGGTTACACCAGCTCCGACAGCAGAAAGAAACCGAATGATGATTAGTGTAGCGGCAGTAATGGAGCAAATGAAAGATGGAAAATAGTAAATACTAAAAGAAAAGGAGAAAACGAACAGTCCAGCTTACAGAACTAAAATGCCCATCAGTGCTTCACACCCCAGTCCAGCAGGTGACAGTAGAGCACCTTTAATGTTGATTCACCACAAAACATCTACAGAAGAAGAGTCCAGTGGAGGAGCTCCAGACTTATGTTTACTTTATGATTAAAGTTTTTCCAGGTCCCGTGTCTAAATGGGCGAGTTTAAACTACGAGTACAGTAGTTAAGACAAAGAACAGATCTTTAGTAACTTAATATAGTTTAGCTTAATTTGTTTACTTGCTTATAAAGGGGTTATATTTCAGTCATAATAGCGTGAAATTTACATCTTAATCCCTTTATCTTGCTTTTGTGCCATACTCTCTGAAGATATGAACTGATAAATAAGAACAGAAACATAAATAAGGAGAGAAAAATAAATAAGGACAGAATAATACCTGTTTGTGTATGAAATATCAGCTGAAATAAAGTCCAGCGTTCCTGATCGCTTCTGTAGAGGAATTTACAGTTGAGCCCCAATATATACTGAATAAAGGCAAGCAGCTGAAGTGTCCGTCAGATAAACAGTCTGGCAGCAGAAGGTTCAATATAAAAGCTGGAGTGTGTTGTCGTGATTTGTACCGCACTAACTTAAACGCGAGTTGCTGTCCTTATTCTTTTTCTTCTTCTGGTGTTTTATAGCTGTTTGGTAAACCAACGAATAGGTGCATTACCGCCACCTACCGATCTGGAGCGTGGATGTGCATGTTTGAGGGCGAAAGAAAACACTCAAGCTTAAATAAAGAATTAATAATACAATTTAAATAACTAAAAACCTTCTAGAAAAAAAATTATATCCATTATTCCTGTTTCCCAAATATTTAATTTTCATTTCCCTGCTGAAAAAAACAGCTTAAACCAGCCTAGGCTGGTTGGCTGGTTTCAGCTGGTTGACCAGGCTGGTTTTAGAGGGGTTTTGGCCATTTCCAGGCTGGTTTCCAGCCATTTCCAGCCTGGTCTTAGCTGGTCAGGCTGGGAGATGACCAGCTAAAACCGGCTTGACCAGCTTGACCAGCCTGGTTTAAGCTGGACATAGCTGGTTTTGGCTGGGCTCTCAGCCTGGCTAGGCTGGTCAAGCTGATTTTAGCTGGTCATCTCCCAGCCTGACCAGCTAAGACCAGGCTGGAAATGGCTGGAAACCAGCCTGGAAAGGGCCAAAACCCCTCTAAAACCAGCCTGGTCGACCAGCTAAAACCAGCCAACCAGCCTAGGCTGGTTTAAGCTGGATTTTTCAGCGGGGGTTCTGAATTCTTGATGGTCTAAGGAGCGTTGTGCGTGCCTTTAAGTGCAATGTAAACAAAAGATGTTTTATTAATTATTAATTATAATGTAATTATTATTAAAGCGATTATGTGTAAATGAACACAGATGGCAACAATAATTACTCTAAATAGCTACCTAATATAAAGCTTGAGTTTACATTAGACGTAAACACCATTGTAGTTGCAATTTTCTTTAGGGAGGCTCTCTCAGTGGTCAAGAAGACAAATTCTTACCCAAAGTGTCTTTTAAGGTTTTATTCTTTGCAAAGAAGGTCACGATCATACAGTAACACACACATTTCTGCAGAGTGACACTGGAAACAGAGTGTGCTCTCCCTTTTATCTGGTTTCTCCCCTGTACTGCTTACGAGGTCACTAAAGACATGTGCACTAGAGCAGGGGTGGCTAACTCTGTTCCTGGAGAGCCACCTTCCTGCAGATTTCAGTTGCTACCCATATCAAACACACCTGAACCAATTAATTAGGACCTGAACACCACGTGATAATTACAGGCAGGTGTGTTTGATATGGGTTGCAACTAAAATCTGGAGGTAGGTGGCTCTCCAGGAACAGAGTTGGCCACCCCTGCACTAGAGACATGCTCCTGACCGAAATCAGACCCTCAGAGGTGTAACCCACAGAAATCGACTGTTAATTTTACATTATTATTGTTTCATACACTTCGTGAATTCTGTTAAACATTGTTTCAATCAGACAAATCATGAACACTCTTAATCATTAGTTCATCATGAATTCACCATCAACCAGAGGCGCAAAAAGGGGGCTATGCAGTGTATGCATAGGGGCGCAACACATGGGGGCGCCATTGTGCCAAAACTACTTTTAAAATTATCCTTATTAAAACTTTCAAATAATAAAAATACACGAGTATTTTTTTTGTTAAAAATGTTTATTTTGCATTTTATGTTAGTATAATAAGGTAATTTATTAAATAAAAAAACTATACCACCCCTCCCCCTCCATCGACCATTGGATTGATCCGTTGCAGCTGGATATTATTGCATTGCTCGGTTAGTCACATTCTCTCCATTCAAAATGGAGAGAAGAGTGAAGAGACGTGGAGCGCAAAATAGAAAGCGAAATAAACAACAAACAATGCCTTAAAATGAAAACTGCAATGACAAATAGGGTAATAAGAGATTGGTAAGCTTAACCCACACTAATATTGCCATACTTTTAATCAAATTCTAATGTTTTTAAGCCATATCTTTAATTATTAAGTACTCATTATCGCCCCCTAGTCAGTCCCTGGGCTTTTACAGATGAGGTGGTTTTGTCCAGACAGGGGGACAGTGACACATGACTGAAATCACACACTGCTATTATTACTATTTTATATACTTGATTATAAAGATTCTTAACCCTGCTAAAACTGACACATTAACAAATAGTCAGAATATTCACATTTTTTTGGAACTAGAGTGTTTATTAATCGTTTTGGAACCATCAAATCCATCAACATCCATTTCCCTGCTGAAAAATCCAGCTTAAACCAGCCTAGGCTGGTTGGCTGGTTTGAGCTGGTTGACCAGGCTGGTTTTAGAGGGGTTTTGGCCATTTCCAGTCTGGTTTCTAACCATTTCCAGCCTGGTCCTAGCTGGTTAGGCTGGAAAATGACCAGCTAAATCCAGCTTGACCAGCCTGGTTTAAGCTGGACATAGCTGGTTTTGGCTGGGCTCCCAGCCTGGCTAGGTTGGTCAAGCTGGTTTTAGCTGGTCATCTCCCAGACTGATCAGCTAAGACCAGCCTGGAAATGGCCAAAACGCCTCTAAAACCAGCCTGGTCGACCAGCTAAAACCAGCCAACAAGCCTAGGCTGGTTTGAGCTGTTTTTTTCAGTAGGGTATACATGTTTTTGTAATTGTATTATGTATCATATTGATACATCAGGCCTTTCTGTAACTTTTTTTAGCTCAATACTATTGAAATTTTTGTTACAAAAAAGCTTTTTGAAATTTTTTTTTGATAAAATAGAACATTTCAGACATTTTGTCTCTGAATTTTTTTAACACTATACAGTATGCATGTGAGACGTAAAAGTTGAACCCGCATACTCCTCAGTAAATGTGCAGTCATCTGCCATCAACATATCATCCACAACATAGGATCCTGTTGTTGTTACAGCACTCTTAAGGCTGATTTATACTTCTGCGTCAAACGCACGCGTATGCTACAGCGTTGACGCATAGCCCTTCGCCGTGGCCGTCGGCGTCACTGACGTGCACCTCTCAAAAAATGTAACTACACGTCGCAACAACGCGTAGCGCAAGCTCTGTGATTGGTCGGCTTGGTGGCGCTGACGAGTCTGGGCGGGACCGAGAGCCGCACGAATGGTGCGAGCCCAATGGAGCGATTGTTCACAAGTGTGGAGTCCCGTGAAGGAGCTCCGGATGGAAAGTTTTGTTTTGTGTTTACCTCATTGCACGTCCGCCAGTTCCTGCCTCAAAATGAGCGAGTTTGAGTCACTTGTACATCCAGGAAGTGTTCAGGAAAAGCAATACAGCAGCGGAGAAACTCGACACAGAGGAGCATTTACACCTCACTGAAAACTAGCGTTTAGGAAGTGTTAATGCAGACCAACAGAGACAGCGCGCAGAAGTATAAATGCACAGCTACGCGCGTTGCATTCGCCGTGGGTTACGCCTGTCACTTGACGCAGAAGTATAAACCTGGCTTTAGGCCTCGTTAACACTAGTGCGTTTTCAGTTTTAAAACGGCATTTTAGAATAAAAAAAAAACAATCTGCGTCCACACTAGCGTTTCTAAACATATCTCCGTCCACACTACGCCACCAAAAACGTATATCACTTGACCATTCGCGCACTTTTGGTATGCGCGTTCTAGTATAAACAGGAAGCATGTGTCTCGCTCGGCATTTGGTTATTGTTTGTCAACAAAAACCTGCTGAACAATGAACACAATGGCAAAGAAAGCAAGAGAGGTATTTTTGTGGACAGACGACGAGGTCGAGTTGTTACTAAACGTAACAAATAAATAACTGCACAATGACGCCTAAAACAGACAATATTGCAAGCAACGCTCCCATTTCTATGTCCGTGTTGTTGTTTTACAGTTAAGGCTGGTCTGCTGTCTTCAGGTCGCGTTAAAGCCATGTGTTATAGTCATGTGATAGGGGCTTGACGAATAAGGGAAGGATACGCAATGACACAAAAGCCCCAATCAGGTAGCAAATCCGTTTTCAGATTTCTCCGTTTTCTCCTATGCACATTAGCTATGTTTCCATCCACCTATTTTTATGCGCATTTTGCACGTGCATAAAAAAAAAAGTTGATGGAAACGTCATGATGTGGATCAATTTAAAAAATGCGCATAAAAAACGTATGCGCATAACAGAGTAGGATAAACTTTTTATTAGATGAGAAAAGATGCGCATAAACTACGATGGAAACACTTTTAACGCACAAACTCCAGCAAGCGCATTAAAAAAAGGTCATGTGATTTTTTTTTTAAAAGAGATCATGTGATGATGAAAATGTGAGTGAATGAAGAAACCATCAGGCTGAGCACACTGTAAAACATCGGCAATGTTATTTTCGTAATTTTAAAACGCCTTACCGTTTCAGTATTAGTGTTATTACATTATTAACGACCTCCAGAATCAAGAGCATCTGTGCTCCGTGTCTGACACCTTTAAACGTCACCGCGCATTCATTGCAGGACTGCTTTCTGAGGCGCAAGTCATTTATTAGTTGAAGAACAGATTGACGCAGCTTTGCCTACTGCAGCAAATTCCGTTTTTACTGTTGATATTTGGTGCCAGTTAATCAGGAAGTAACGGTTTTGTTCGCTTTGACTCGTTGGATGGAAACGCTACTTTATTCGCACGTCTTTAATGTGATAATCCAGTTTTGCGCATTAAGTTCATTCGCATTTTTGGATGGAAACCTAGCTACTGAGACGGAGCAGCAGCGTTTTAGAATGAAAACGACCTCTCCAGCGTTTCCAATACTATCCGTTTTCGGCGCTTGAAAACTCCGCCGTAGTGTGGACGGATGGTGTAACCTTAGCAAAACTTGTGCGTTTTCAAACTAAATCGCATTAGTGTAAACGGGGCCTTAAACATACATCACATTTACACTCTTCTCTCAATTTTCATGCAAACAATCACTCTTATAAGATTAACTACAGAACATATCAACTCATGCCGTTTGCTGTTTTTGTTTGGACAGACCCAAAATTCATACAAGCAAGCAAATAGGGATTTTACTCTTGAAATGTCAAGTTTGTTAAATTCGTCAATTTCTTCAATTTGTTTACGGGTTTTTCTATGTTCACATAGCTATCGCTATCATCAAAGTCATAGGCTTCGTCCGAAGCCGCATACTTCCATAGTATATAGTACGCTAAAATCATTATGCGAGCCGAGTAGTATGTCCAAATTCATAGAATTCGAAAATCTGCATGCGAGAAGTACCCGAAAAACTTACTACTTCAGATTCTGGAGTGCGTATCCCATGCACGCTGCGCTATCCCATGATGCCCCGCGAGCGAATTCATGAATGGGAGTAAAGGGACGCAACTGACACAAGTAGGTCACATGACCATGACAAAATGGCTAATGTAGTACGTCCGAATTCCATTCATACTTTTCACATTCAAACTGTATAGAACATACTATTCTAACTGCCGAGTAGTACGTTTAAATTCAAATGCAGTACCTACTGAGTAGTCGGCGGTTTAGGACACAGTTATAGTCAAAATCATGTGATGTTGAAGCTGTAACCAGTCTGCCCACTGACCATGATACAAATCTAAATACGCATGGCAAACAGCATAATATCATTAGACCTATACCTAGTACAGGCAACACTACAGTGCAGGCCATATAGATCCAATCTCCCCATTTGAATGACAAACCAGTCTAGCCATGAACTGCTCGCTCTTTTAGGCACTTTTACTGACATTCTCATGTAGGCTACAGTGTCACAACTGGTTTTGCTATAATTAGGTTAACGAAAACAGCAGAACATTCAGGGATAATAATAGCAACATCAGTGTGGTTCGTCTCAATCCACACATTCCACGCACTTGGAATTGATGCCAACGAATCTTCTCATCCATCTTCAGCTTTGATGATGTTCAAGCAGAGCAATTCGACTCTCTTTTCTTGCTCCCTTTCTTTCGCCGGTCTGTGCTTTTGTTGGTGTTAAACTCAGAAGTTACAGCTTCACACACACACCTCTTGACTGTGTTGTTGTTTCTCCACAGCTGTGACCTTGCTTCACGCAGATAGCAACTCGCTGTTTTCTTCAGACAGCTTCAGAGCCCCTCTTTCTCTCCTACTCCCTCGTGTATCCTCCTCAGGTCATGGAACCCCTTCTGCCGTGGCTAGCATGAACCCATATCGCCCTCTCTGCGACCTTCAGTGGTCAGTAGCACTTGGAACGGACCCAACCAGCGCTTCGCTCTCCAGCTCTTTCTCCTCAGGGCTCAAATCACCACAAAATCACCCGGCCTCAAACTTTGCATCGGTGTCTCAGCAGCCTTCCCCCGTGCAGCCTTTACCTGTACACAAACATCAGACAACACAAGAGACATTTCTTTACAATAACTCAACATGTCGTTCTCGCACACATCTGTTGATGAGGGAGGGGGCTGTTTTCCCCCATTCACACCTACACGTGGTGGTTTGCCAAAGAGAATTTCAAACGGGCTCAAATTCATTTTTGGTCTTTTTCTCATTCTCGTTTACATCAGGACAATGGGTAGAGCTTGAACCCATATGTCCCAACATTTTGCCAAGTTGTTTTTCAGTGTACCATTTTTTCTTCCAACTGCTCCACCTGAAGATGGATGGTAACAGCAGTGTGTTCTCAGATCAATTCCCAAATATTGGCCCACTTGTTTGATTGCTTCATTAACAAAATGAGTAGCGTTATCTGAACTTAATTTTTGTGGAATCCCCCATCTCGGTACAATTTGGCTCAATCCCAGTTCTACCCCTCAGCCCTTCCCCTTACCCCTCGTTTTGCATGTGCCCGTGAAGGGGTAGTGGTGTCCCAATTCTCTAGCTTAAGGCGTAGGGCTAAGGACTAGGGTTGTAACAATATACCGGTATGACGGTTTACCACGATTTGAACGTGCACGATTATCATACCATGAACAATTGCATATCAACGGTTTTAACCCTTAAAGACCGAGACAGCCGCCCGCGGCTAAAAATAAGTATTGCTCTTAAATGTTTAATAACTTTTGATCCGCTGATCTGATTCATACAATTCAAAGATTGGCATAAAGAAGAGAATCTCAGCTTTCCAGTGCTGTATCACATAACATTTGCGGACTTTCAGAGGCTCCGGAATCAGTGCGGTTACGTCATCAACATTTGACAACGCTGATTTGACAAAGAAACGCTCGTCACTGTGTCTCCGGACAAATCAGACACGATACATTGATGCATTGTCCCTCCTCCATGCCCAGATTGGTTCAAACTCGCTATATCACAACCAATAAGCATAGGTTTCGCTTTTGTTTGTGGACCAAGCTTTTTGAACAACACGGAATGAGAGATAGGCATACATTTATGCGCGGCTAAATAAAACGCAAAAAAAAAAGTTTTTCATGAAATAATTGTCATACTAAGTACTTTTGGATGCACAGCAGCACAGAAACATGACAAAACAGTGACACAGCAAAGACGAACTGCTGCTCTTGCTGTTTTCAAAAGACGCAAATGAAGGTGCAGCTGTTTGTCTGCATTGCAGACAACCATATCCAAATCCATATCCACAGACAACCATATCCATGCTGGCACATAAAACCTAAGGATGTTCCATATTGAATCTAGTTTTGTTATGTAACTATTTATAGTATAGTAAATATTTATATCTATTTTTTACTGAGGATTTGCACCATGTTTATTTGGACTTTATTTGGACTTTGACACATTATTTATTATTTTCTTATTTTTATTTGTTCATTGTAAGTGGTGTTGTTTATAGTAACTGAAAATATATTATTTGGAAAAAGTCAAATTTGCTTCACTGTTCTATTATTTTGTAACATTTGTAACATACCGTATACCGCGAAACCGTCAAACCGTGGTATTGTTTTAGACGATTATCATACCGTGAAAAATTCATACCGTTACAACCCTACTAAGGACAAGGGGTATACACCCCTTCAAACGAAGATTTTTCAGGACCACACTCGAAACCAAGGGGTAGGAAAAATTTCCCAGAATACACCAGCTCCAGCTGCACCCGGAAGTAAGAAGGTCCACTAATTAGTATTTTTGTCATTATTACAAATTTTTACAACAAACAAACAAACACATGTTTTAATATAATCATAACCGCGTACATGTTTTACCGTTATGCTTAAAAAAAAAAAAAACCCTAAAATAAAAACTGCTAAATTTTGCGATCCCTATAATCCCTAATAATAACTCCTGTACAGCAGTCCCTCAACATTCTGATGACACTAGAATCTCCTGTCAGTAATGTCTAGTGCAGGGGTCACCAACCCTATTCCAGGAGAGCTACCTTCCTGCAGATTTTAGTTGCAACCCTGACCAAACACACCTGTTTGTAATTATCAAGTGCTCCTTTAGGTACTATTAATTGGTTCAGGTGTGTTTGATCAGGGTTGGGACTGAATTCTGCAGGAAGGTAGCTCTCCAGGAACAGGGTTGGTGACCCCTGGTCTAGTGGCTGTCAATGGGCTTTTTACAGTGTCTGCTATAATGTTCTGCTGTTTTTGGTGTGTTTACATTGATGAATATGGCCACTGTGTAAATACACAGTACACGTACGATCTTATTGCCACATTAGATCGTTATGATAACATAATATATGGCTTCAGTGATTTCCTGAAAATAAAAAACAAAGATAACGCAACTGGAATCACTACAATAGTTGCCATCATCTGAACTCATATGACGCAAGAGATCGCGAGGACATATGATGATGTGTGCAGGTCTTAGGGGTCAATTTTGAAGCCCTTCCCCTTAACCCTCGGTTGCAAGGGCATAAAACCAAATTCACGTGTGTAAAATATTTATTTATATTCACAAAAAAAATTTCACGTGCACAAAATTAAATGACATTTTTCATAAAATACGTTTCACAAATGCAAAACACCATTTGCAAATGTTTAAAAAAGTTTTGAATGTTTAAAACTCGCGAGTTCATCCTGAATGAGAATGTGCAAATCCTCTTTCACGTACGACTCCCCCTGGATACGTGTGTGTGTATTTTTGAGACTTTCCTGGCAGAGTCAGGGCAACTCGTACCTTTCAGCCAATCAGATGAGAGCTGTAGTCGATGACACCCACTCTTTCGCATTTTTGAAAGGTGCACGTCAGCTACCAGTGTGGTGATGGCCCAAGTCACAGTGAAAACCTTTTAAGTGGCCAATTAAATGCCCAGAATTTATCAATTTTCTTTTAGTATTAAACAAGGAATGTATGTCTTACCAGAGAGTCTAGATGCCACTTGAGTTCCTTTTTCACAGACGTCAGTGGGGTTCCTCTCCGGGCCCAGCGGTCGGCCCCTCAACCGAATGGGGCAGGGCTATGATACAAAGTCCCAGGATGATCAGTTTATCGATTCATTGTTGCAGCGCTAATATTTAACAGTACTCTGATAAATATATGACATCATTATTGTGGATATAAGCTGCTGTGATGCGTATTAAGTTTGTTTAAAGTGGCGAACCGAGGACTCGAGAGATGAACGGATCCAATCTTTTTCCAGCTCTGACTAGATATGATTGGCTTCTGTCTTTCAGGTGATGAACAAACAACTCAAACCTGATAGAAGACTCGAAAAAACAACTAATCTCCTCCTCCATCTGCACAAATGTGTGCAAATGAATGAATCACTCCTCGAGAGGACTCATCAAATGAACGAATCATTACAGAATGACCCATCACTATGAGTTACTGTAGTATAACTGCATGTCCAGTATAAACACTTGACTGGTATACATTCCCATGTTACTGGCCATTGGCAGATTTGGCAGGAAATAAGTTTTGGGCTCTGGTTACACAGTATTTTATACATGCTTTAATTAATGCCATTCAGGCTGTTCCTTAAAGGGTCACGAAACACCAAAACACATGTGTTTGAGCTGTTGACAGTCGTATATGTGTCCCACACTGCTAAAAACACTATTAGGACACCTATATTTCACTAAAAAGTGTAAATTGGTTGTTTTTGCGTTATTTCAAGCAAATTCGTACTTCCGGTTTGAAACGAATTTTTGAAGCTGCGTCACGGTCATGACATAATAGCGTGTATTCCAGCATGTAGACTGGACGTCTGTGCCAGAGTGTGTCTTATTACGTCTTACAGTGTGATGCATTAATGCATGAGTAAGGCTTGGTTCAAACCAATCAGCGCGCTCTATTGTGCAACTTCATTAATATTCATTACTGTCACAGTGTTTACACGACAGAGACGCCACGTTGTATTGGCAAAACAAGCGTGAAGTGTTGCTTTTATAGTTTGCTGCAGTTAAGTTTCGTTTTCATTTTCTCTCTGTGAGAGTTCAGCTGGAGTCACGTGTGGATTAACAGTGTACGCAGCGCTCGACAACAATAACTTATGTGTCTAAGGAGGAACATTGTTTACCTGAGAGCTGTTCTCATCTGCAAACGCTGAGATCCGGATTCGCTTGTAGTCTTCTCTTCATAAAGACGCGGCTCTAGTTGCTGGTGATTGTTCTGTCTCTACAGATTTGGTAAGTGGGCGACCAGTGGTCTTTGTTTATTCAGTTTGTTCGTATCGAACAAACTATTGCACCAAGTGTAAACATGTTAGCACCACAACCAAACTTTTACCTCATGTAGGGTTTTTACCGTATTTAATGTGGAGTTTTTTTTTTCTCTCATTCGCCGTGCGGTATCAAACATTGCATGAAAAATACACGCTTAGAGCAGTTCCTCGAATCAAATATCTCGTTTGTCGCGAGGGGCATGAATGAATTCCCTAATTGAAAGAGCCAAACTGCAGTTAAAGTCCACCATTTAATAATTTGGCAAATTATTTGACTACAGATGTCCATGTAAACACCATCACGTGTGTGTGTTTTGACTCTGAAACTCGCGCGTGCCAAAATAGACACTCCCACACCATCCCACTACAGTTCCTCCGACACTCCCCCCTAAACAGAGCTGGACACGCCCACTTTTCTGACTTTTTCCAAAGTAGAGGTGTGAAAACACCCTGCTGAAACAAGGGGGTTTCATGGCCCTTTAAGATGCAACCAATGTGTAAAACTCTAGACACTGATCTCATGCCTCTGGTTTCTCTCCAGTGTGAATCCTCTGGTGTATTTTCAGTTGTACTGACTGACTAAACTTCTTGTCGCAGTGTGAACACATGTACGGTTTCTCTCCAGTGTGAATCCTCTCATGTCTTTTTAGATGTCCTGAACGACTGAAACTCTTGTTGCAGTATGAACATATGTACGGTTTCTCTCCAGTGTGAATCCTCTCATGTGTTTTCAATTTTTCAGCCGTGCGAAAGGTCTTCTCGCACTCAAAGCACATGTACTCTCTCACACCGGAGTGGATCTTCTCATGTCTTCTTAAACTACCTTGATCTGAGAAACAGTTTGCACACACAGAGCATGAATAAGGCTTCTCCTCTGCGTGAACTTTAAGATGCCTCTTCAGCCCCATAGACCTCAAAAATGTTTTGCTGCATTGATCACACTTGTGTGTTTTCTCTCCAGTGTGGATCAACATGTGTTTATTAAAGTTTCCTGAGTTTCTGAAACTCGTCCCACACTGAGAGCAAGTGAATGGTTTCTCTCCGGTGTGGATCCTCATGTGATTCCTGAGACTGTCTTTGTCTGCCAGACTCTTCCCACACTGAGTGCAGGAGACACGTTTTTTGTTTTTTCTCTTCAGTGAGTCAGCTTCTCTCGGTTTGACATGATGCTGTGTCTCCTCCATTAAGCCTGAAATAAAAACAGCATTTTAAATAGATGGTTAAAGTATTGAAAGTACACAAAAACTACATGAAATCATGATCACTTTGGTGACCTTTTTGAAAATCTTGTTCCTAAATCAATGCACTCTTGCTCTCATATGCTCTCTTTGGGGCTGTTACATAAATTGTTTATAAAAGCGGGAATTAAAGTCAAAAACCTGACTTCAATGAGCTGAGCTAAACGTCCACGCTTAAATTGGTTCAATAACAGCAAGTTGAAGATCATTTAATCTAACTGCGTAAAAAACGTGCTGGATAAGTTGGCGGTTCATTCCGCTGTGGCGACCCCGGATTAATAAAAGGGACTACACTGAAAAGAAAACGAATGTCTAATGTTTTTCTACATGAACAGATTCATTGTTATTTCCACCACACCCTGTCATTTCCATCACCACACACATTTTTTTTAAAAAATGTTTAAAAATTTCTTATCACACATTAAAAATGAATTTAAAATCTATGAGTTCATGCTCCGTTCAATATTAATATTTATAATAAACAATATACAAATTCAGTTTATTCATTTTCTAATAAGCTCTTAACCAAATTAATATTAAATTTTAGAGTGTGTCAGGTGTGCAATTCAGCATTCGGTCCTAAGGGACTAATTTATTTCATTGAGAAATGTATAATTATTGTATACATTGTGGAAAGATTGGTTAAACTAGATACAAAAATGATCTTGGACAATGTTTGACTGCCAGAATTTATTTTACTTTGAATTTTATTTCACTTCGGTAGAGCTACGCATCGATGAATTTGCTCTTCAGTGTTTGAACTCTCAGTAATGATTTAAATCACACTGAACTGAGCTAAACTGAACTGAACTTAAACACTAAAACTGAACTACACTGTTCGGTTACTATGACCATTTATGTGAAGCTGCTTTGACACAATCTGCATAGTAAAAGCGCTATACAAATAAAGCTGAATTGAATTGAAATAAGCTGTATATTGAGATGTGATGGAATTGATGGTTTTTGGGCCAAAAACCCTGTAAAACCAGGCTGGTCGACTAGCTAAAACCGGCCGACCATCCAAGGCTGGTTTAAGCTGGATTTTTCAGCAGGGATGCTACATTAATTTTGTACAAGTTCATTTTACTCAACTTCACAAGGCTAAAAGTGCCCGTAGTAGAAGAATTGCCCACTAAGTAATGAGTGAATGGTGTGTAATAGTAAATTACTATACTAAAGAAAATGAAGATAACTAGCAGTCTAGCTTACAGAATTCAAATGTTAATTAGTGCTTCACATCCCAGTCCAGTAGAGCACCTTTAATGTTGGTTCACTAACCGCCAAAAACCTAGAAGAGTCCCGTAGGAGCTCCAGGCTTCTGTTGCGTTTACTTTATGATTAGTTTTTGCAGTTCCAGTGTCTAAATGGGCAGGTTTGAGCTACGAGTAAATCTTTAGTAACTTAATATAGTTTAGCTTAATTTGTACTTGCTAATAACAGACTCAGGGTTATTATAATTCAGTTAGGGTAGAGTGAAATTTACATCTTACTCCTTTTATCTTACTTTTGTGCGATACCCTCTGAAGATTTGAACTGATAAATAAGGACAGAAACATAAATAAGGACAGAATCATACCTGTTTATGTATGAAATATCAGCTGAAATAACAAAGTCCAGCGTTCCTGATCGCTTCTGTAGAGGAATTTACAGTTGAGCCCCAATATATACTGAATAAAGGCAAGCAGCTGAAGTGTCCGTCAGATAAACAGTCTGGCAGCAGAAGGTTCAATATAAAAGCTGGAGTGTGTTGTCGTGATTTCTTCAGCACTGAACCTCCACACGAGTTTTCCTTGCTCTGAGCTTTTACTCGGATAATGCCTCTGCTAACTGTGTGCTCAGCACTACCGCCATCTAGAGGACAATAACAGCAGCATCCACTAATCGCCATATCTCCTTTCATTAGAGAGAAAACATCAACAACCGATATACAACATAAAACTCTCTAATTGTGACTAAAAGACATTTTCAGACAAAAAAAAATGTCACCTTAACACATTGCACACTCGCACCAGTTTACTGTAGTAAAAACTATACTCAATGGTTCATCAGTTCATGACAGCTAATAGTATAACATGATGTATACAGCAATCATTAAAAAACACAATAGGCCTACTATTTAAATACAAATATAATACACTTTACTAGAATATTTCAGAAAATTACTGTAGTATCTATCATATGGTTAGGCACAGTCTTATAAATTAGGTTGATCAGGTTTCTTTAAGGTAGGCTGTGATAATAATATAAGATTATCATTGATTTCTGGAGAAAAGAAAACAACAATGAATATAGCGCTCCCCTATTATATTTAAGTTGGTTATTTTCTGAGTAATCCTAGGGGAACGGTTATTTTCAGGTTTTATTTCTTGCAACCTTAAAATAACCTAGAATGTTGCAGGATGGTTATTTTAACTTGCCTAAAATAACCATGATGGAACATTCTGTGTAAGTAAGGCTATGTTTAAATAACCTTTAATCTGGGAACGTTATATGGTTGCAGAAATAAATAAATAAAGTAATTATAAGGGAATATTCTGTATGCTATTGGTTAAGTGTTCATAACTGTGGAAATCTACAGTGTAATAATATAAGGCAGCCCAGGTATACATAGAGATGGCTTTGTAATAGATTATATACACTCAAATTCCAGACTCTGGCAGAGGCTTGAATATTATTATCATTATTTGTGTTGCTGTATTTACTTGAACGCAGCTTCTCATCTTTGACGTTTGAGTTCGCGCGTCCGCCATGTTTGTTTGTTTGTTTGTTTACACCCCATGAATTGGGGTGTACACCCCAATTCGTGTAGCGGCAGTAATGGAGCAAATGTATGGTGTAAAATACTACACTAAAATATTAAAAATATCAGACGTTTACACTAGTGCTGCACATTTTTAGTCAAATAAATCTTTGTTTGTCCTGAAAAAAAAAAAATCAGGCATTTTTTTACAGACGCGTACTGTGGTTGTTAGTGGTCAGCTGATTCATTCACACTTTATTTTGATGGTCCGTGCTTTGAATTTAGGTTACACTGTATACATGCCAACTAATTCTCATTAGATTATCAGTGGGTTAGGGTTGACCTGTAAATTTACCCACATTAGCTTTCTGGCCACCCACAACTTTTTAAATAGAAATTTAAATCTATATTTATTCAGTTTTAAATTAATTTCAGTAATATTACTGACTAATATGAAAGTGCTGAAAGATGGATCAGCTGTTTTTAAATGGCAGAATCTCGATACATTGCATTCACTGCGTGTTCAGCGCAAATGGCCACTAAACGTCAAATTTCTGTTGCTCATTTCGCAGGAAGACGATGAAGGCTCTTGTGTTAAACCCAATGAGCCTTACATTAAAAAAATAGAGCAAGGGTGTTCCTTTGGAGACAACGCTTTAACTCACACTGAAAATGGCAGACGTAAAAACAACAAACTGAAAATTAAATACATTACTTTCTTTCTAATTCAGGGCTCCGACATTGGGTTTGTTACAGCGAATTCCATTGTTACAGCTGGCAAAAAGTAGGCCAAAAATAATACAAAATAAAATAAATTAAATACATTACTTTCTAATTCAGGGCTCCGACATCCGGCCCCTGATTGGGGATTCCACAATCATAACAATATTTCCAAATCTTAAGGAGCCAAATATAATTCTACAAAGTTACAATTTGTACATTACATTGTAAGAAATGTATAAGTTACATTGTAAAGAAAAACAATAATAATAATTCTAAACTAGAAAATTATGTAGCTCATAATCAGGGGCGCAACTGCACATTTACTGATGGGTATGCGGCTTCAACTTTTGCGTGCCCCCTTCAATCCAACTATATTTTATAACAGGCAAGTGATAAAATGTGGAAAATATTTCCATCAATAAATTAAAGATATTTTTTCATAAAGATATCAATATGCTTCAAAAAATACAGTTTTGCAGTTCTGAACACAACTGAAATAGTATGAAGTAGTAAAAGGTATAATTACATTAAGCATGTTAAGTCGCAAAGAAATGCATCTCATACCACCCCAAATTTCTTCTCAATTTAAATTTCCCTCACTAAATGATTATATCACCTTGACTAGCCTTGCTTTTGGACTTTTTGTACTACATTTGTCAAAACAAAATGATAGACATGGGAGTCCTAAAGGGCAAAAGAACATTGCAATTACTTCTCACATGCATACTGTGAGAAGTGTAAGGTCTGTCTTTGCAAGAACAATTGACTGAAACTGCTAAAAGTTAAATAAAAAAACTTTCAAATGTTTAGTGTAAAAAAACAAAAAAAAAACAGAAACAAACAAATGTTCTATTTAATTGAAATGTTATAACTTTGTTTGTAGCTAAAATTAAAATAATTTTGAGCTAAGAAGTTACCAAAAGGCCTGATGAATCTATATGATACATAATAAATTCATAAAAACATGTATATGGTATGAAAAATGGGGGTGGGATGATTTTTTAATTTAATAAAATACAATATTATACGCCTATAAAATGCTAAATAAACATTTTTAACATATATATATGTGCCATTGTGCCAAAACTATTTTTGAAATTATATATATATATATATATATATATATATATATATATATATATATATATATATATATATATATATATATATATATATTATTTGAAACTTTTAATATAGATAATTTCAAAAATAGTTTTGGCACAATGGCGCCCCCAATGTGTGGCGCCCCTATGCGCCACATATACTGCATACCCCCTTTTTGCGCCACTGCTCATAATAGAGGTAAACATTTAATTTTCTTATTGATTTACATGTTCATACTATGAACCTTTCAATCAGTCTTTACTGTCTATTTATTAGATTCTTCAGCCAACAAGGAAATGGTAATGCGGAAAGCTGTTGGTGGGTGGGGGGACCAAATTGAACCAAATGAACGAAATTCAATTCAATTCAAATGACTCAAGAAAAGATTCGTTCATCTCGATGAACGAGACTCAAAGATCCGAGTCAGTAAAATGGTCCGAACTTCCCATCACTATTGGAGACATGGGTCGTCAGTGTTGTGTTTATAAATGTGCCGCAACTGAGGTTGGGGGGTTGTCATGGCCCTTTAATAGTCTAAGGCCGTACTCACACTAGGTACAGTTGCCTCGAACCGGGCCAAAGCACGCTTGTCCCCCCTCCCGTCTCCCCCGTCGGCCCGCAATCACACCACAAACGGGCCTCGGCACGCTTACGTCATCGCTGCTGCGCTGTTCAGTGAGAAGCACTCTCTCACTCAGCAGCACAGTGGAGATTTCTCTAGTTTTATCATTTCAGTCGTTTGTTATGCAGTGACATGCAGTCAAATATTTCGCCAAACAGTCCTTAGGGATGCGGTGACACGCAGTCAGATATTTCGCCGAACAGCCTTCACTGTAAACAACAACACGGACACAGAAATGGGAGCGTTGTTTGCACGATTGTCTGTTTTAGGCGCCATTGTGCAGTTATTCATTTGTTACGTTTAGTAACAACTCGACCTCGTCGTCTGTCCACAAAAATACCTCTCTTGCTTTCTTTGCCATCGCGTTCATTGTTCAACCGGTATTTGTTGACTAACAACAACCAAATGCCGAGCGAGACGCATGCTTCCTGTTTATACTAGAACGCGTATGCCCAGAGTGCGCTAATGGTCAAGTGATATACGTTTTTGGTGGCGTAGTGTGGACGGAGATATGTTCAGAAACGCAGGGTAAAAGCGGACGCGGATCGTTTTTGATCTAAAACGCCGTTTTAAAACTAAAATGCACTAGTGTAAACGGGGCCTGAAACAGACATGATTGCTGTCATGCTGTGAATTTGGCCAGTTGTGAAACAAGCACACTTGTAAGATTTCTCTTCAGTGTGAATCCAATGGTGTTACGTGTTTAAGATGTTAAATAATTAAATGGATGAAACGTAACAATCAGAGAATCTACTGATGCTGGATGAATGAGGAGAAGACACTGACGCTTGATAAGTGAAACAAAAAGTAAGTATTTATTAATGGATAATGTCAAACAATGACAATGAGATGTAAGGTAAATGTAATTTTAAACAATCAAATTATTAAAGAAAACAGGAGCGTTGCCAAAACAAAGAAATAAATATAACAAAACAATCTAACTAAACCCCAACCCACTAAACTGACTGATCAAAGAAAAATGCAGAAACAAAACCGTAATCTTCAGCACGTAGCTTAACTAAACTTCATAACTCCCAAACATAATTACACATGTGGCAACACCTCCATTAACTAACTAATACAGAATTATCCTAAACTGCTCGCAATGCTTGAATTCTCGTAAAGTACACACTGTTAGCCATTAGCAAAACAAGATCTCAGGCAATCCAATTCTCATACAGATCGTTCAAATTCTCACCAGACGATAAACTGAGCAGCACAAGTTTAACTGATAAATCAATCTCTCAAAGAAAAAACTAGAACACAGCACTCGCAATCAAACCAAGCGGAAAAAAAAACACAAGTGTACAGTCCGGCCGACACAAGTGAGGAGACTGGCTGTGAGCCAAGCGCTCCTCTAGAACAGCGCAAGCGCACGGCTTTTACACTGCGCGGACCCAATACTTATTGGTGCGCCGATTGAGACAGCTCACTCGACCAATGGTAGCACACCTGAAACAGGACAGGATCCACAACAAGAGTTGTTTTAAATATTGTTAGTAATGCCTAGTTCAGACTGCGTGATTTTAGCCCCGATTTTGGCTCGCCGACAGGTTTTGAGAAATCGCCGACAAATGCCTGAAATCACAGACAAATCGCTGCTCGTGCACGTGAGTGACAATCACACAGTATGAACGATCAAAGATGCGATCTGAGAGAATCGCCGATGAGTCGCTGATGCCTTCGAGATATTTGGCGTGCTGAATATCTGGAGCTGTCGGAGATTCAAATCATGCCGTGTGAATTGAGTTTTGACTGAAAATAACATCAGCCATCGCCTACAACCAATGAGAGAGCAGCTTTCACTTGTGTGTGTGTGTGCGTATATCTGCTGCAGGCCAGCGGGAGGCTGGGGGAGAAGTTAAAAGCGCTCTTTTCGGTTTATTTGGACCCACGAAATGGAGGAAAAACTAGTGGAGGTTTGACAGGACTCTGGAGCAACCGTGTCTGTTTGACATTTCATACAGAAAGAAATTAGTTTATTATCAACTTAAGTTGAGGAGAAATTGATAATTCCTTTTAAACCCAGGTGAGCAAACATGTACATGTTCTACCCCATTAAAGGCTTCTTTCTCATTATGTAGTCAATAACAAAAGATATACGACGTGTTTTTGGCTGTGAGACGTAGTTTGGACGAAGTTGTCGGCGATTCTCCCTATAGTAAAGTCATGCAATGTGAATGTCCATGTCGCCGATCCATCTTGCAGTGTAAACAAAGCAGCGACGAAACGCTAGCCCAGATAGTCAAGCAGCGTGAAAACATCTGTCACATGACTACTTTGAAAATCATGCAGTCTGAACTCGGCATAAGAGTCCTCTCAGACTCGGTGAACATAAACTGTCATACCACACTGCAAAAAATGCTTTTCTTACTTAGATTTTTTAATCTTGTTTCTAATCCAAATATCTAAAAATTCCTAAATCAAGAAGAATTTTCCAGACAATCAAAACATATTGTCTTGTTTTGAGAAATAATATGCCAATATTAAGAGAGTTTTTCCTTAAAACAAGCAAAATAATCTGCCAATGGGGTAAGCAAAATAATCTTACGTTAAAAGAAAAGAACAAGATTAATTTGCTTACCCCATCGGCAGATTATTTTGCTTGTTTTAAGGAAAAACTCACTTAATTTTGGCATATTATTCTCAAAACAAGACAATGGCTGCTTCCGAAACCGCCTACTACTCAGTAGGTACTGCATTTGAATTTAAACGTACTACTCGGCCGTTAGAAAAGTACGTTCTATACAGTATGAATGTGAAAAGTATGAATGGAATTCGGACGTACTACATCCGCCATTTTGTCATGGTCACGTGACCTACGTGCGTCAGTTGCGTCGCTTTACTTCCATTCATGAATTCGCTCGCGGGGCATTATGGGATAGCGCAGCGTGCATGGGATGCGCACTCCGGAATCTCGCCGGAAGTAGTAAGTCATCCGGGTACTTTTCGCATACTGATTTTCGAATTCTATGAATTCGGACATACTACTCGGCTCGCATACTGATTTTGGCGTACTATATAGTATGGAAGTATGCGGTTTCGGACGCAGCCAATGTGTTTTGCTTGTCTAGAAAATGCTTCTTGATATAAGAAATTTTAGATATTTAGACTAGAAACAAGTTAAAACATCTAAGCAAGACAAGCATTTTTTGCAGTGCAGTCTGGATCTTTAAAAGTTGTTGCTTTTCAACTTGACTCCTTTGTAAATCTCTGGTCAACAAAGATAATGAATAAAGCTTCTCCTTTGATTCTAAGGTGGACCTTCAGGGTTTAAGTTGAAATAAACGTTTTGCAGCAATAATCGCTTGTAGTCTCGAGTTTTCGCTCGAGTTTTTCTCAAGTGTGAATCCTCTTGTGTTTTTTCAGAGATGCTGACTTCATGAATCCCTTGTCGCAGTGTGAACACTTGTAAGGTTTCTCTCTAGTGTGAGTCCTCTCGTGTGCTTTCAGATTGCTAGACCGATTGAATCTCTTGTCACAATGTGAACACATGTACGGTTTCTCCCCAGTGTGTGTCCTCTCATGTGATTGGAGGTCTGCTAACTGCCTGAATCTCCTGTCGCAGTGTGAACACTTGTACGGTTTCTCTCCGGTGTGAATCCACTCATGTGTTTTCAGGTTTCGTAATATACTGAATGTCTTGCTGCAGTGTGAACACATGTACGGTTTCTCTCCAGTGTGAGTCCTGTTATGTAATTTTAATTCTTCGGCTGTCATAAAGGTCTTCTTACACTCAAAGCACATGTACTCTTTCACACCGGTGTGGATCTTCTTATGTTTTCTCAAATTTGATTGAATTTTGAAGCCCTTTCCACATTTTGAGCATGAATAAGGATTTTCCTCTTTATGAACTTGAAGGTGTCTCTTCAGCAATGAAGCCATCGTAAATGTTTTGCTGCATTGATCACATGTGAATGGTTTCTCTCCAGTGTGGATCAACATGTGTCCATTAAGGGTTGATAATACGTTGAAACTCTTCCCACACTGAGTGCATGTGAATGGTCTCTCTCCAGTGTGGATCCGCATGTGATTTTTGAGGCTCTGTTTGTTTGTCAGACTTTTTCCACACTGAGTGCAGGTGACACATCTTTTGTCTTTTCTTTTCAATGATTGAGTTTTGACATGATGATGTGTTCCCTCCATCAGGCCTGAAATGAAAGTAAAAAGACTGCATTTATCAATTTAAGTTCAAATAACAACAGCTACATGATCTCATGACCATTTTGGTGCAATTTTAAGAGTCATGTTCCATGCTTCATGTTTTATATTATAAAGGAGATTATATTATTCTGCCCTCTAAATAATTTAAAAAAAAATTTCCACATATTTGGACAATTTATTGATTGAAAGATGGAGACAAACCAGGCTCAGTTGGGCACAACAATTTCTTCATGCCCGGATTTAGCTTTGAATTTTAGTGTGGGCCAAGTGACATTCGAGGTGGGTCAAAAAATAATAATTTCATATATACACACACACACAGGTAAAGTCAGAATTAGCCCGCCTTTGATTATTATTATTTTTTTAAATATTTTCCAAATGATGTTTAACAGAGCAAGGACATTTTCACAATATGTCTGATAATATTTTTTCTTCTGAAGAAAGTCTTATTTGTTTTAATTCGGCTAGAATAAAAGCAGTTTTTAATTTTGTAAAAACCATTTTAAGGTCAATATTATTAGCCCCTTTAAGCTATAATTTTATCGATCGTCTTCAAAACAAACCATGTTTATACAATAACTTACCTAATAACTCTAACCTGCCTAGTTAACCTAATTAACCCAGTTAAGCCTTTAAATGTCACTGTAAGCTGTATAGAAGTGTCTTTATTAATATCAAATCAAATATTATTTACTGTCATCATGGCAAAGATAAAATAAATCAGTTATTAGAGATGATTTGATAAAACTATTATGTTTAGAAATGTGTTGAAGAAATCTGCTCTGTTAAACAGAAATTGGGGGAAAAAAAGGGGGGAGCTAATAATTCAAGGGGGGATAATTCAGGGGGCTAATAATTCAAGACTTCAACTGTGTGTGCATATATATATATATTTATATACATATATATATTTATATATATATATACACACACACATATATATATATATATATATATATATATATATATATATATATATATATATATATATATTTATATGTATACATATATATATATATATATATATAAATAAAAAAATATATATATTTATTAAAAATATATTTATAAATAAAAAAACAATAAATATATATATATATATATATATATATATATATATATATATATATATATATATATACTGTATATTTATATATATATATATACTGTATATTTATATATATATATATATATATATATATATATATATATATATATATATATATATATATATATATACTGTATATATATATACTGTATATTTATATATATATATATATATATATATATATATATATATATATATATATATATATGTGATAAACAGAAACACATTGTAGTATATAACAGCTTAAACAAAGAAAAAGAAATATTTTGATATAAGCATTGCGCATATTGTATATATATTTACAACTCTTCATTAATGAATTACACTACAGAATGCAATCATTTATAGCAGTGCTTACTATAAATTACTAAAGTATTTTTCGAGCACAGCATCAGAAATTAAGTTATTGCATCTTAACATGTACTTCTCAAGGTATGCTCACGAAGAATCCTGCTTCAGTTCAGAAATAACTCCCCTCCTTCAGTCATCTTTTTATCAAGGAAGTTTCTCGTGTTAGCCTAATTTGGTTTGCGACGTCACCGACCAGAGGTGGCAGTAACGCACCAAAAACTTTGTTGTCAACCACCGTAAAACAGGAAGAAGAAAACATCATGCTCGCCATCATATGGATTTACTTTCATCGGCTAGACACCGTCCTCACAGCTCTGTGAATGTCGCTGCCGTCACTTATTGATCCGCGATTGGTAAATGTAGCTTTGAGGACGCTACTGCGCTACTTGACTAATAAAATAGCTTCGCTACTGAAAAGCTGTTTGATTTAGAAAATAGCGACGCTACCGCCACGCTACTGAGAAATGTAAGTTCAAATGCAAAACCCTCTAAATCCATCAGACCTCTTTTCTTGTAAATGAGCATTTTCGATCAGGCTTCTCTGATTAAGTTAACTTTTTAAGTTTCACTTTATATGTAATGATAAGGTTAATAGCTAGTAAATAAAATACCTTTATTTCATAAATATCACTTAAGACAATTCTTTCGTTTTTAACAAGGTACATTTTTTTTTGTGTCAAAACCAGCTAAATCCACTTCTGCTTTTTTTAGCAAAACCCCTCTAAATCCACCTATTGGGACAAGACGGTGTATTTACGTGAAAAATGACTAAAGATGCAATTAGAAATTATTTTACCAAACATAAAACACATTACACCCAAAGTTAAAAATATATAAATCTGTCAAGTAAGTGGTGGTTCACTCCGCTGTGGTACGCCAGGAAAAAAGCAGAATGAAACTGAATGTTTGAAACCTGTGCATTAATCAATAACATTAAAATTGACATTAATTGAATCTGAACAATCTGCTGTCATTTCTGATATCTGGGATTTAATGAAAGTAGATCAATGTCAACATTTTGAGTAAACAAGTGGCGTTTAGCAGCTTTTGCCAACAACCTGTTATTTCAGAAAGTGCTGACACCGGGATTTAGATGATTTGAAGCAAATCTATTTGGTGATGGTGTAGTACGTGCCTAAATCATTCACTCAATGCCATCATCTCACTGTTGGTGGAAGTGGCGTTTAGCGGCTTTCGCATCTGAACTGTTCAAATATACCAAAAAATAAAGTCTAATGACAATGTATTGAGCACAAACTTATTTTATTTTTGAGAAAACTTCAAAGAATGATAGTAAAACATTGTATTTATCTTTTTTTTTTGATAACTAATGTTGTGGTTCTGGCCTTTCCGTTTATTAATTAAAATACATTTAATTGGGTAAGTGAGGGGCCATACGAGTCTGCTGTTAGGTGTCTTTTAAAACAGGGGGTATGTTAAGGCAAGGGGTCATGAGAGAGCGCAAAGAGGACTTGGGGATACAGAGAACCATCTGTGTAAATACAGCCAAGAAAGCATGAAATGTATAAAACATATGTTAAAACTGCCATGCATGTCTGATAAGACACATACTGTATGAGAGAGAAAGGTCCAGTTTAGATATTAGAGACATAAACACTAGTCATGATTACCAAATTTGAACTACGTGTGGAAAAACAGCAATGAATTCATAAGATCTGTACATTTTAGGCGTACTCACACTATGTACAGTTGCCTCGAACCAGGCCAAAGCACCCTTGTCCCCCCTCTCGTCTCCCCCGATGGTCTGCTCTCCAGGGTTGGGCATCTAAGCTATAATGCCGATCCGATACGCATCTCGATACAAAGAATACGATCCGATATATTAGCGATACATTTGTGACATATTGCGATGCAACACGATACAATTCACACCCATATCACGATACCATGCGATATTTCAGCACTAACTAATTAGATCAAGTTTATGAGATGATGTGAAAGAGGATGCTGTGCCATTGAATGAGTTTGATTATTTATTAACCAAGCAAAACCAAGACTTTTTTTACAAACTGGCTTTTCTCTCAGAGCCAGAGTGTCAGTTTACAGTAGAGGGCCATTTTAGAACATATAGCACATATTATTTAAGTATTTTCAAGATAAACAGAATGTATAAGTGCAATATATATTAAAATATATATATTTGCACTCTTTCAACATAAAGGTTTAGCATTGCACAACAAGAATTGTGATTTAACTTTAACTATGAAAACAAGTTTTACAAAGATATATTTTGCCACTGAATATTCAAAACTTAAGGTTGTGAACTAGCAGTGTTATGTTGCTTTGAAACATCACTGTCACTGTAAACAACAGGCTAATAAAAATATAAATAAATAAAAATTAACAGGAGGAGGTGTTTAAAACCTTCGTTCTCTGTGACACTAGCTGAATATCTTTGCAGATGAACAATGCAATAGCATTCGTTATTGGCGTAGAGCGAGCAGAACTGTTGCGCATGGAGAAAACTTGCAATGCTTTTCTCACCACTTTTGGAGCTGGTAGCTACAGTTGAAGCAGTACAGGAAGCCGGGGATGCAGGAACACTGGAAGATGCTTCCACAACAACTCCGTGGCGCCGCTTCAAGTGAGATATCAGATTAGTTGTACTGCCCGTGTATTTTACAGATGCGCGGCACATTTTGCAAATTGCATCTGTCCTAAAAAGTCGTCCATCTTTTTTGCAAAATCCATAATGTTGCCATACTTTAGATTTAAAACTCAGCGAGGAATAAAATGTTTGTTTTGCTTCTCGCGCTTTCTGAGGGCGCTCCACTAGCTTCATCCGCACACCTGATACACTGAGTTGTAGTGTGAGTGTACACATCCGCAAATCCGTTGCTAAGGCTTACTTTATGTAGGTCTATTAAATTATGCGGCAAAAACAGGTTAACAACACTTGTTAATAAATAAAAAATACATTCTATATTAAAAATATAAGCTGTATCTCGCAAAAACCGATGCATCTCGCAAAAACCGATGCATCTCGATTTGCTTCCAAAATTTCATTTATCCTCTGCTGCTCAACCGATGCACTCGCATCGTGCACGCGCATAACCGCGTATCGATACATATCGGTTAATCTTCCCATCCCTACTGCTCTCACATTACAATCAGGCCTGGGCACGCTTACGTCATCAATGATGCGCAGTTCAGTAAGCGCTCTCGCTCAGCACAGTGGAGATTTCTCTAGTTATCTCGCTTTAGTCCTTAGGGATGCAGGGACACGCAGTCAGATATTTCGCCGAACAGATCCGACACTTTTGACGCTCATAATCATAAAGCCCTTGTGCTGCAGGAATTAGGTCTGCTGAAGGTGTGCAGCTGTCATGCAGTGAGGGGCTTGTGTCTTTATTAAACTATGGCAGTTTGCGTTCACTGAACAGTAAGAATAAAAGTAACCCATATGAAACAGTCCCTTAAAAGTCACGTCTCGCTTTCAGTGTCGGGCTCAGGCGCGTTTTGCACTCACACACAAGCGTACCGCGCCAAAGCCCAAGTGAACAGCGCTCA